GGAATGGAACCGAATTGTTAAATCTCATTTGAAAGCCGCCGCATAGGGACTTTGCTACCAGCTGGAGTAAGGTGAACTGGAAACCGAAGACCACTTCCACTCTTCCTGTAACAGTAGAATGTGAAACCAAGGCCTACTAACAGGAGTAGAAGCACTGGGATAACAATGACCACAACTTTCACAGATACAGGCATGTGCTTTTTGTATGATTTGCTGCCTCCTAATAATGTAAAAATTATGAGAAATATATTAGGTTCATGCTAAAAACGGGACAATCAACAATAACATAAAAATCGTAAAAAACAGCTGCCAAACTGACATCCAAAGACTATGGGAAGCTAGATTAATTATCACAAATATGCACCCTTCCCCCACCCTCACCCCAATCAGATCTTGGTCATTGTCCAACCAGGGCAAAAGTATAATGCCTCTAATTTAAGTGAACAGGTTTTAGCAAAAAAAAAAACTCCCTCTTTCTACAATGTTTCAAAATGGTCCTCTCCTTTCTACCTCCCAAGAAACCGTCTTTATAAGGTGGTTATCGAGGAACAAAAGAGACCATTTTGGACAAAAACGTGTATTAAACAATTTGTTGCTGATTGTAATTTTGTAATAGTTCTTCTCAACATACCACATTTAGGGAGAGGTAACTTAGCAGACAGAGCAGTTGTGTTCGTTGTAATTCTATTGGATCCTCTCTCTTCTATCTCCAACACCAACTGGAACAAAAAAACAATTTACAATACCAACAAGTAAAATACTTGCAGGACATAAATCACTTTGATATTGACAGAAATAGGGGCATGGTGACTCAGCTGTTTTAATACTGCAGAGCTAGAGAAGATGGGGTAGATCTCACATGATATGCAAAGACAAAGTAGCAGTACTACTGCCACAAAAGCGTAGCAAGAATAGCAAAGAAAAAATGTTTCAGATGGATGGTGACCTGCTTTATGAGGTATGTTCACTAAGAAAAAACATTCCTTAAATCAGAACCTGAAACTTTCAAGGAACAGACAAATGTTTTGAAGACGGGAACTTTACACACAAAACAGTATTGGATTTAGCTTTTGAATGATATTAGGAATTACACTGATCTCGCAGGATGATACTCACTGGGCCCTCAACCTTAGCAGATAACACCCTTCTTGACCAGCATAATTCTTCATATCATTTTCAGCCTCATCCAGTAATTTTTTGCTAGTTATTCAACTTAAATAACTATTTACATTTTAGGCATTTATGAGTGGAGCTTTTAACTATAGTTCTTCATGACAGCCTACTTGTTACCTTAAACATGATGCTGGCCTTTTCTTTAACCAATTCAACCTTCAAGTATGGCCGTACTTTGACACCAACTCCTGAAGACATGGGAGCAACTGCTCGATCACCATTTTTAAATGTATGTGACCATGTTGGGAAAGGTTTAGAAGATTGTATGGTAACAGTTGCTGTTTGCACATCTCTGCATCCATTAAGTTCTATGGTCAGTTTTTTCATTCCAGGCCCTTTGTCTTGTGGTGGTGCTGTGCAGGTTATTTTACTACAATGGTTCGTAACTGGACATAGGGTTCCACCAGTTAAGCAGACAGGAGGGCATGTTCCTTCCTTGAGGTTTGGCTTTGTCTTATCAGGTTGACATGACTTTGTAACATTTGGATGTTCCTCGTAATGTTCACTGTGATCTTCTCCATGTACTACTTCGACAGCATCTGCAATATTATTAACAGCAAAAGTCATTCCTGGCTGAAAAAAGGACCAGCAACTTATTCTCCTCATGAGCTAGCAACTCCCATACTAACTATTTATAACAAGTAACTACCTATAACAATGCAAAGAAGATGAGTTTTGGTGGGTGATTACAACAGTTGGCCTGGGACAGTTGGACCAAAGCTGGACTCTATAAGCTGACTGTCTGATCATTGTCATCATAAAAAGTGCCTGACATAACTTGAGTCACAAATTATTATATTAATCAGATGTCATGGAAAGAACAAGTTAACAATGTATTTACAATTGGCAGTGTATATAATATTCAAAAAGACAATACCATTACATTAACAAGCTTACCACAAATGGTCATCCCCAAAGGAGCACTTCCACTCAGTAATGTCACATTCACTGGTATTACAACATCAGACATTTTCAAGTTACCAAGTAGTTCCACCTAAAAGAGAAAAGAGACAAATGTTGCATGTGCCAAAAGAGCCACTGAAAGAAATACTCATTAAAAGAAATTATTTGTTGTAAGAGAAGGTAAATGTTAAAATTTGATTCACTCTTGCTGAGACATGAACACCAAATTTGATTGATATGGACATCATGTTGTTTGACAAAGCCACTGCAGCTCACAGTTGTCTTTAAAAGCCACACGCCAACAATAATATTTTGTGGGAATAGACCTTATTCGCAATATGTTCCGCCATCTTTGCATGCACTTGAGAAATTATGATGGGAAAAACAAAGTCAAATGGTTTCTCAGGGGGCAAACAAGTGAAAACATTTGCCAATAATATAAGAAATACTGGTTGACTTTGTTTATTCTAGACAAGTTTCATCTTAAAGACAATAATGGAAAGTTATAGGTGGAAGTGACCATTGTTACTTTTTTGGATGTAGTAGCAACCATAGATGTCCTTACAGCAAATGGTAATGATGTAAATCTTGTCAAAACTTAAACTATGCATTTTGCATGACTATTTATTTTTTGTCTTGGTTTGTAAAAAACAAACTCAACCGTGGTTGCTCATTTTGGGAATTTTTTTCACTTGTTTTCCCCAAAGTAATTGATCCTAATGCACCTACAAAGATGGCGGGTATCGTAATAAGGTCAATTTACAAACAAAAAAGACACAGTAGATCTATTTTACTTTTCGCCAGAAACATAAAAAATTTTGCCTCTCTGGGAGAGGGTTTTGTGGGAAGAGAAAAAAAATAAATCTAACTTGATTAATGATACTGGGGTAATAACTCAGTATGTCATTATTTAAAAGAGAATAAAATAACAAGCTGGAATTTTTTTTATCCATAAATGCATTACTTTTGGTCAGTATAAGGAGTAACATTAAATTACAACTAAAAATTTTACTGTCATGGGATAAAAATTATTTTGAAGTCCTTACTGTGTAATCCAAGAGCTGCTCTCCATGTTTCCTGAGGCCAACACGCACAAAAAAGGAATCATTAGAAACTGGTATTCCCCCTGTTAACATACTCGGTATCACATCCAGCTTAGCTTTTTCTCCATCTTTCAAAGTTGCTGACCAATTTAAATTGCTCTCTTGCTGTTTCAATGTGACTGTAGCATTCCATGGCACTTTGCATGTATTCAACTTGAGCATAACTCTTAGCTTATGAGGGTCTTGCCTTACAACACAGTCTATTTTGCTGCAGTCTCTGCTGTAATCGCAGTGCTTAGCTTCAGGAGCAGGGATGCTTGGAAGAAAGTTAGTTTGAGGGCAATAGCTTGTTGATCCATAATTTCTTCTTTCATTACCTGAAAAATATATCATTTCAATAATTCAGTCCTTGTACAGAGAACAAACAATGGACGGATTAATGCAAGCAAGGTCAATGAAGAAAAAAAGTAACCCTAGTAAATTTTCCTTGTTTTCTCAAAAAAGGAATGAAACATAAATAATGAATAATTTGGTAGCAGAGTTGTGAAACTCCAACTTGCAATGTTTCTACAGACAAATGTGACAAACAGCAACCCTAAACCCTTTAGATTTCAGGCAAGGTGTTCATAATTCTCTTAGAAACATTTTTGAGCAATAATATAAAAAACAATACTGGTGATTTTTTTATTTGATTAAACCAGATTACACTAAAATATAATATGCTCTAATGACATCACAAATACTAAAACCCAAGGGGCACTCCCTAATTTGGACTAACACGTAAGTGCCACTGAATAGAGTATGGTTGTTCAGGGTCTTGAGTCTTTTCATATTAAGCGTCTTGAACTTAACAGGGTGCCTTTTTGGCAATGGGTGGTGTACATTTTTAGTACAAACGATTCAATGATGTTAGTTTGCAAAATTGCTTAATTTCTGTATGCAAAACAAAATTTAATTAGGGGAATAATAAAATAAGGTCTCTGGGCTTAAACAGGGGAAGGAGATAAACGATTTTTGTCTTTAACTACCCATACAAACATTTCACTAGAACGATTTAACAGCAAACTTAACTTTTTGTGTTATGTAAAGTAAACTATATACATCTTAGCTTTCTATAATATCTAGATGTAGAAAAAAAAGACTTTAAGAGTATCTTCTTTCATTGCACCAAAAATTATGCTCTGATAACGTCATATGACAAAAATGTAAACCACACATTTTTAAATGCAAATTTAATTTAACATTTCTGAAAAGTACGCAATATCCATTCTCGCGTTATATAACACCCTGAACTAAAAAGAACTTTAAGGAAATTTTGCCAGAATAAGGAACCGTAACCAAATTATTTAGGTTCACAGAACAATTCAATGCCTCAGTGACATTCAATTGCGTGTCGATGGGGAAAAATCATACACGCACGAAAAAAAATCGTCATAAATCTGTAAACGAGGTGTAAGCGAGTATCCATTAATTTGAAAAAGAAAAGTAAACCTTACCTTGACCTCTGCCTTGAGAGGCTAGAAAAACAGTTGAAAAAAGGGCAAACCACGCCGCACCTTCCATCGCCATCGGACCATAAAAACCAAGTTCGGCAAGAGTGTAACTTGCATCAATTTGCATTAATATTTACATTTGGCGGCGAGCAAAAAACCGCTGGCCCATTTTCTAGCTGGCAAGCAGCCAAAGCTGAGGCCCCGTCCACACGAAGACGATTGTAAACGCAAACGCTAGTAAACGCATATTTTTATCTCCGTCCACACGAAAACGATCATCGTTTACGTAGCGTTTTAACCCGTCCACACGAAAACGCTCGTAAACGCATAAAACGATGTCATACACCGAAAGTTCTCTTTCCACTCTTCTGGTATCACCACTTGATCGGCAAAGTTGTTCCACCAGGCGCTTGTACGACCTGGTCTGGTACTCGAGTAAAAGTGCTTGTAGATGTGGATAACAATCTTGAGAAGTTTAGTCTTCTTCTTTTGTAGTTTTCCTGTATATCGATTATTGCATGATTCAATTGAATGCTCGCAATTATGCTTGAAA